ATGCAAAGTGAAATAAGTCAGAGGGAGAAGGTCAAATACCGTAGACTTATGTTTTTCAAAACTAAATTTACTAATGCTGGGAAAAGGGCAACTACATTTTAGAAAGATTTTCAACCACAAAGAAAAAATCAAGGAATTTGGGATAGGTCTTATGCAAATGAGAATATCAGGCATCCTGACTAATCCAAGCTTTTCTGTATTTGATTCCTTTGATTCACTGAATGAAGTGGTTGTGATTTTTTGGAAGGGGCAGAACTAAAGTTTATATTTCCCTACTCTGTGTCTATTTTAAATGAGATGCCTTAGCAGCCCAAGCTGACCAAAATTTTCAGCCATGTTGATTTTTCATCCTCCAGGCTTAGCTGTATGACCACCATGTAAGTGATACTGACTTATAATAAAGCTTATTTAAATGATTTTGGAATCAAATTGCATGTTACATTAATCATCACTATATAGCAAATAACATTTAATACATTTCTGGTATATTTTGAACACTGGAGCTCTAATTTACTGACTTGTACATGTATTGATTATCTATTCTTGCATAACAAATTACAGCAAATTCAGTAGTTTAAGATAACACCATTTATTTATCTGGTGGTTTCTATGGGTCAGGAATCCTTGCATGGCTTAGCTAGGTCCTCTGATTCAAGGTCTTTCACACGGCTGCAATCAAGGTGTTGGCTGGGACTGTAGTCATCGCAAGGCTTGACTGGGGAAGAGGTCACTTCTAAGCTCATTCATATGGTTGTTACCAGGATTCAGTTCCTTTTGGATTGTTGGACCAAGTGCTTCAGTTCATTGCTGGCTGTTGGCTGGAGGCTGCCCTCAGTTCCTCCGCATGTGGATTTTTCCATAGAGCAGTTCACAACATGGTAACTGGCTTCATCAGAGTGAACAAGCAAGAAACAGAGAGTGCTAGCAAGACAGAAGTTATAGTCTTTTGTGACCTTATTTTGGAAGTGACATCCCATCACTTTCACCATATTCTTTTGGTTAGAAGCAAAGGTCTAAGTCCAGCGCATACTCAAGAGGAGGTAACTACATAAGGGCATGGATACCAGAAGTTGGAAGCTGACTACCGCAGTACTCTTAAGGGCCAGAATAGGGCCAGTGCACCTCCCAAAACACTTTATTTAACATATTTTCCCGGAAGGCTGTGAGTCAGTACCCTTCAGTGATGTTCTAAAATTCATAAAATTCTTTTGGGGGTTGGGGTATTATATATGACAAACATAATGTCACAGAGGATGAGGTTGGTAGTGAGAAAAGGGAGGTAGTGAGATGAAAAGCCGTTAGGGAAAGGTAATGCGAAAGAAGTAAAATAAGCATAGGTTTTCCATAATTTTATAGAACATTGTAATATTTCCATGTAATTTATTTTTTTATTAAATGATTGTGTGCCTTGTTGGTTCTAGTTTACTGTACAACTGCAGGATCCGGGGACAGCCGCAGACCATCTTAGCAAATCCTACCACAATGTATACCCAATGGCAGACTGCAGGGTATCAGCTTCACTGCAAAACATTCAACAACTGGGGAACTGTGGATTTTTAGTTTTCCCCCGTAATAGGATCTAACTGTATATAATTGACCATCTGTTCTGACTATCCTCCTGTGTGTTTTGGTAGTTGCTTTCCCAGCCCCAAATCCAAGCCCTGCTCTGAGACTTTATCATCTTTGGTCTTCTTAACTCTCTTCTCTAGGTTATTTAGCATCAGAAAGAACATGCTGGAGGTTATTTAGCTTAGGATACCATACATTGATATAATTATGTTTAATATAATTATGGTTACTACAGTGTCAATTGACAAAATTAATTAGGAGTACTTAAAAAGACAGTTTCTGAAACTGTTTTTTCTCTACTCAGAATGACATTTTTAATTCCTAAGAATGGGAAGAAAACCAAATAAACAAATACTTCCCTAAGTAGCTCAAAGGAAATCTGATGGAATATCAGGGTCTCTCTGCAGTGGTAAATAGGTCTTTGTTCCATGTCCAAGGGTAACACATGAGCTTTACCTGGTGTTTTAAAATGCAGCTTTTTATTATTATTTAGGTATAATGAGGCCAACAGATCAGGATATGATTGCCATTGAAAAGAAAGTTTGTTACAGTTCCCAAATGGATGGGGCATGTCCCACCATCCAGGGCCACATGGGGAAGCAAATGAGTCAGTCAGGAGGGAGAGAGTGAAGGAAGAATGTGGGCAAGAACCTTATTGAGGTTTCTGCAAGAAGGGGCAGGTGAAGCAAGGTAAGCAGGTTTAGGATTGGCTAGTTTGAATAATTTCAGTGGGCTCTGTGGTGTGGGAGCTGTCTCTAGTTGTCTGATAACCTGGCCCTGAGGTGATGAGGGCAGGGAAATAGTGTTCCAGAGTGTAAAAGCCAGATAGAAGAAGTGGTGGGGGGATGTGGGCTCTGGATTGGTTAGTTTGCATGTGAAAAGCAACTCTCACAGGAGAGTTGTTGTTTAAGATCTTTAGGAATTGGCCAGCCCTGGGAGGTTCAGTCTCTCCAGAGTCAGCAAAGTCCCAAATGTCAAAGCATTGGAAGTACAAAAAATGAAAAGGCATGATTAATAACCTTGACCTCAGCTTATGATACATCTTTTGCAGAATAGATGCTCCACACATTTTAATTTTTTTAATTTCATTTTTAAAATGATATACAAGAAAATTGACCTTTTTGATGTACAATTCTGTGAATTTTAACACATGTATAGAGTCAGGTAACCACCAGCACAATCAGGATATAGATAACAGTTCCATTATTCCAAAAAACTCCCTTGTGCTATACCTATGTAGTCACATGCTTCCTCCATCCCTAACCCCTGGCAACGACTGATCATTTCCATTACTATAGTTTTGCCTTTTTGAGAATGTCATATAAATGAAATGATACAATATGTAACTTTTTGAGACTGGCTTCTTTTACTCAGGAAATGCATTTGAGATTCATCTAAGTTGTTATGTGTATCAATAGTTTGTTTCTTTATATTGCTGAGTAGTATTTCCTGGTATGGAAGTACAAAAAAACATGCTTTGTTTATATATTCATCCGTTGAAAAACATTTGGATTGTTTACAGTGCTAGCAATTATGAATAGATCTACTATAAATATTCATGTACAGATTTTGGTTGTTCCATGTATTTTTGTTTACCAAATGGTGAATATAAAGTCAGCTTCTTTTATACCTCAGATTCTACTCCAAACACCATCCCATCCTTTGTGAATGCTCTCAGATTCAGTACTTTAATTCACTCTCTGACCAAGGTGGTTCTAGTTCTAAAGAAATTCCGCTTCTTTAGAGGAAGAAATTATGAAGAGCAACTACTACTGTATTGAAATTTAAAGCAGACCCAGACATATTTACTCATCCTTCAGTATGTCTCTGACAACTCTTATCTCTTTGTACGTATTAGCACAGGAGCTTTTAAGAAGATTTAAGGAATTCTTCAGACTCAGTTGCTTCCCTTAAAGATGATTTGGCTCTTTTGGGAGCAGTTTAACCCTGCTCTGGCATTTGTATAGAGTGAAATAAAAACCGAGTCCTTTTTGGCCCAAATCCTTTGTGGATGAGAAATATAATTAGAGTAAATCAGCTTTGAAACATTTATTGATTGACATCTACAACTGGGGAGGTAGGTTTATATTTTATTGAATTAATATAGAGGTGGTTCATTGATGTTCTGAGTAAAAAGTGATGTATAGAGCATGTTCTTTTAATTTTTTATAAATACATCTTTTCATCCTGATGAGAGAGAGTAAAAGGAGAAGTAATAGCTAATTTTTATTGTAAATTTGAACCCTATGGGGACCAACAACAACAATAACAACAAATAAAATTTGCCTATTGATGCAATGATCAGGGTTTTAAATCTGCAACTTTATATGAGATTTTAAGATGTGCTTTAACAGAAGTAGTAAATGCTGCATAATAGCCTAATACGAGCAGGAGCAAATACTAATGGTGGGTAAAAGTGAGAGTTCCCTGGACCAATCCTCACTCTGATATAAATCTCTGAAGTCTTTCCACTATTTTAGACTTTGAGATATAGGTGGGGATATGTTTGGGATACGTAGAGTTTCAGAGAATGGTGGGATAGCCTGACCCTTTGGTAAAGCCAGTTTTATGTCTCTGGTGCAAATCTTTTGACAACTCACTGCCATGTGCTTGGTAGGTCACTTGATTGCTCAGTTTATGGAATTTCTCTTTGTTGTGATAGTAAGCATGACTATGGGCTCATCCAAACAGGGTTAGGATTTCTGGCATTTAAGTAACAAAAGACACTCCCCCAAACCCAAAAAACTGTGCAATGATTTTTCACTTGTGTATCTGAGAATTGTAGGATATTGGACTGGAAAGGAGCGTGGGGAATTGTAGGATATTGGACTGCAAAGGAGCATGGGTATCATTTAGTGCACCCTTCTTGTTTTACAAAAATTAAATGAAGTCCAGAGAGATTAAGTTGCCCAAATCCACATAGGTAGTGACAGAGCATGACACAACTCAGATCTCTTGACTTCTGCAGTCAGAGTATTTCATTCCATAGATGAAAATGTTAAGTAACAAATCAAAGCCAGGAAGAGGCAAAGACAGTGTTTCTCAAAATTTATTCAATTAAACGTCTGAATCTCTTAGGGTGTGGGGAAGTGAGGTGCTTTCTAAAAATTCAGAGTCCAGTATTGGTGGTGAACATGATGCAGTCTATACAGAAACTGAAATATAATAAGGTACACCTGAAATTTACACAACGTTATAAGCTAATATGATTTCAAGTAAATAATTTTAAAAAATTCGGAGTCTAGGATCTCACTATAGATATATTGAAGTAGACTCTCTGGGGATGGGGCCCCAGATTCTGCATTTTAACAAGCTTCCCAGGTGATTATAATCTACCCTAAACTTAAAGACCCATTGGGCTAGTGGGCCACATCCAAATAAAAATAAATTTCACCATGTATCTTCTAATCTTTAATGGCGAGAATAATAGACAATTACTTTTGGCAAGACATGATCTTTTGGTACTCTACAAGTCATATCTTGTAGATTAACTGTCTTTTTCCCAGAGTAGCCTTGGTATCCAGGTGTTTTTTTTTTTTTTTTTTTTTTTGTGAGGAAGATCGACCCTGAGCTAATGTCTGTGCCAATCTTCCTCTATTTTGTATATGGGATGCCTCCACAGCATGGCTTGGTGAGCAGTGAGTAGGTCTGCACCTGAGACCCGAACCTGCGAACCCCAGGCCACTGAAGTGGAGCGTACGAACTTAACTGCTATGCCACTGGGTGGCCCCCGGTATCCAGGTTTTTGAGGGAAACATTAGGGCACAAATATAACAGCAGGATTCAATATAAATTCAACAATATTATATAAATAACATTTATTTATTATTTATATAACTATTATATAAGTAATTTATATAATAAATAAATTAGAGTTATAACATATTATGTAATAAATTAGAATTATATAGGGCTGGCCCCGTGGCTTGGTGCTTAAGTGCGCGCACTTCGCTACCGGCCGACCGGGTTCAGATCCCAGGCGCGCACCGACGCACCGCTTGTCCGGCCATGCTGAGGCAGCGTCCCACATACAGCAACTAGAAGGATGTACAACTATGACATACAACTATCTACTGGGGCCTTGGGGAGAAAAAGGGGAAAGAAAAAGGAGAAGGATTGGCAATAGGTGTTAGCTCAGGGCCGGTCTTCCTCATCAAAAAGAGGAGGATTGGCATGGATGTTAGTTAGCTCAGGGCTGATCTTCCTCACACAAAAACAAATAAACAGACAAACAAACATTATAATTATATAATATTATATATTATTATATAAATTATTTATATAATATAAATAACAAATGAAACAGCAGCTTTTCTGTTCTACCTGGGGGATTGGTAGAGACAAAAGTAGAAGGGAAAATTGTACTATATGCAAAAATATAAGATATTAACACCATGTTTGGTTGTACTCAATTAGTTTGTAGATTCCTGCCTAGTAATAAAAATGAAAAAGAGAATTGTAGGGACAGGGATAGAGTTAAAGAAAAGGTTGAAAAGAAACCAGCATAATTTCATTTGCTGTGAGAGTATGTGTGTTCATTGTTTCAACAATATATTCAAGAATATGTATGCTTCCATTAAGGAACAATAAAAAAGTTTAGGGTTTAGTGATCTTTTTAAAAAATGTGTATTGCCTGCAATGTAGACAAAAATAAAATAATGCATCTAATCCTTTTTAAAATTATTTATCAATTTATCTGGTATTACAAGTTTTCTTGGTATGTTATTTTATAATCTTAGTGACTATAAGCTATTGTTGGATTTAAATTTTATTACATGACTAGTGTTATATTTAAGTTTCATCACATTTTAGATAAAAATAAAAAAATAAAAATAAAAGAAATTTCATCACATTTTAGACATTTTAGAACATTTCATGCTTGTAAAATTTTGTATAAGTCAGTCTGTGTGTACACACATTTGAATAACCTTCCTCCTAGAAAGCACCATTTACATTGGGCATGCTTGTAGCCTATCTTTCTAACTGAGTTTCCATAAGGTTCTGGGCTGGCTCCCCAGTATGAGACCATGAGAGCTACAGGGATGTAAAATACCACAAACATTTTACTTATGAAAGTCATAGGGAGTAAAAAAAGCTTAAGAATGTGTTTGTCACTTCTCTTTTGTTTTTTCGGTATGCTCTTGACTACCAGAAATGCCAAATAAATGTTTGGAAACAAAAATTTACAGCTTTGAAAAACATTTAAATTTTATCTTATTAGTGAATAGGATTATAAAGTGCTTTGGATTTGAGAACAGGCTTCCACTGAACACCTGGCCTTTGCAGTAGACTCACATAGTAGTATTGTATAACACTGATCATCATATGATATGATCTATTGGTACTTGAAGAGAATGAGGAACTTTAGCAACAACATTTAATCAAGCTAGAAATGATGAATTGGAATGTGTTTTCTGAGTAGGATGTGTTTGAGTATTGAAAAAACATTTGAAGGGTGAAATTTCAGGTGTGAAAATCTGGTTGTGTTCACTTGGGCAATTAAATGAACTATTTTGATTCAATTTACTGGTTTCTAACTTAATTACATATTGATTAGTATAGTACAGTATTAATATATTTAATTAAACCAACCATACATATAAATACACTTACATGGTTCAGACTTGGTAACTTAGAGATTAATTTTATCCTTTATACCCATCACATTGAATATTTTTATACACCATACAATGTGGCAGTTCTGGGAAGGAAGAACTAATCTTTATGGATAATATGTGATTTTGAAATTTCCAGTCTCAAAAGGAACTTTAGTATTGATAGTACTCAAAAAGCAGAAACAACCCAAATGTCTATCAACTGATAAATGGATAAACTAAATATGTATATACAATAGAATATTTTTCTGTCATAAAATGGAATAAAATACTGATATGTGCACAACATAGGTAAACCTTGTAAACATTATGCCAAGTGACAGAAACCAGACACAAAAGGCCACCAATTATATGACTCCATTTATATGAAATCTCCAGAATAGGGAATTCCATAGAGACAGAAAGTAGATTAGTGTTTCCTTAGGGCTGGGGATGATGGGGAGATAGGCGGTGATAGCTAATGTGTATGGGGTTTCTTCCTGAGGTGATGAAAATGTTCTAAAATTGACTGTTGTGATGGTTGCACATATTTGTGACTACACTAAAAACCATTGAGTTTTATGCTTTAAAAGGGAGTGCCTTATGGTAGGGAATTATATCTCAATAAAGCTGTTATTTTAAAAAGTAACTTTAGGTTGAATTTAAAGAATTAAGGAATTTTCCAAGGGTGGAGATTTTTGAGTGGAGAAGTCCACTAATTCTTGCTATTACGATATTGTTGTTTTCATGATATACAAGTACTCATGGCTGAAATAGGGTTTCTTTTGGTGTACAATCATCATTTATGGACGAGATCTGTGAGTTGTGGCTTTAAGAAATATATCATAATTATGATTAGGCTGTACTGAAATCAGTTTTTGATCTATGTGTCCAAGGCTTTTGTCAATGACTTCATTTTCCATAAGATAAAACATCATTTGGATTGGAATGACCTTTCATTATCACATTGTTGCTTAACATCTAGTCATGATTCTGTAATTCATAACATATTCCTTAGCAATAAGTTAATGATTCACTTTGTGGAAATAATAATATATAATGACCATGAATAACCTTACTAAATCGTAGAGCCATTAGACCCTTTGATCTCTCTCAGGTATTTATTTAAGCTCTCATTTTTTTGAAATACTGTAGTGCATTATAGTGGAAGAATCACTGGACTAGCATTTTAGAAAATTGGCCATCATTGCTCTGACAGTAACTGGCTGTTATGTATAACCTCTTTAAACTTCATTTTATTCATTTTTGCAATGAGAGGGTTGGCCTAAGTTTTCTTTAAGGTCAATTCTAACTGCAAAATGTAATATTTGATTTTATATATCTTTTATGGAAGCTGCTAAAAGCCCCTCCCCTCAACTTAAAAAAAAACAGATATATTTGGGACATTTAATATTTACAAAAGTAAAAATCCAGGGTTCCTATAATCAGAAAGTGGGCAGAAATATTCATTTTCTCTAGACCTCACTTTGAACAAGAGTGTATTAGTCTGCTTGGGCTGTCATAACAGAAGACCACAGACTGGGTGATAAATAAACAACAGGAATTTATTTTTTCACAGTTTTGGAAGCTGGAATTCCAAGATCAAGGTGTCAGTAGGGTTAGTTTCTGGTGAGACCTTTCTTCCTGGCTTGCAGATGGCCACCTTCTCACTGTGCTTTATGTGGCCTTTCCTCTATTCACATGCACACTTCTGGTGTCTCCTCCTTTTCTTATAAGGACGTCAGTCCTATCAGATTAGGGCCACACCCTTATGACCTCATTTAACCTTAATTATTTGCTTAAAAATCTTCAGGGCCAGCCCTGGTGGCCTAGTGATT